GTGCATCTGCAGCCTCTTCTGTTTGAAATTGGCTGAAGGCATTCGTGGACTTCAATAGCCACCTGCCACCAGGTAGACAGTAATTTCGTTTATCATGCTTCTATAAAAAAATGTATGGCCTTAATTTTTTTAATTAGGGCTTTTATCCATTAGTTATTTATATACTGTACGTATCTGATTCCTCGTCAAACGAACCCAACGACACAAGAGAAATTCCAACTGAGTGTGCTACATTTTATAATGAACTTAATTTAATTCAAATGTTATGTTTCACTTTACAAGATCGGTACCTTTGAGAAAACTTAGATAGTATATCTCTGTTAAAATTTTGTTATCAAGTTTTAGTAACATAATCAACACTAGCTTAGGTTAAGAAATATTAAATAGAAGTCTGTAATAACTTTCGAAAAGTTGATAAATAAATCTATCAATAATAATTAAAAGATGAATGGATAGAAATAGATAGGAGTATAATAATTGTGTAACCTTAACAGATATTAATTCTTTATAATATTGAGGTATCAAATTAAGGTGAATCCCTGACCAAAATGTTACGAAAGTGCGTTTTTCAGACTCTATTATCTCATTAGTTATGAAAAATAAACTACATCTAAAAGTACATTATTAATGTTCGATATCTTATCATCACATTACACGTTCTAATTTATTTTTATGTGCTATAAATACATTTAAAATCAACTTTTAAAAAATGACTAAAATTCTTGATTACATGCATCTGTTGCTAAACGCAACGCTCTAATCATTTGAGGATAACACTAATGGATAGATAATTAAAAAATCTATATTCTCCACGTTTTATTTAAATTCTTAAGTTCGTTTTTTCTATTTTAATTGAAATAATTCCGAAAATTGTGTGACTTCTATGATAAAGGGGCGTGCGCAGAGTGCGGGCGGCATTACGCTGTATGCGTTCGTACGAGGTGGCCGCGTCGCTGGTCGCCGCGTTCCGTATTTCGCCGCAAACATAATATTATTTGAGTACCTACCAACCGATGCGCTTACGTCACGGTATATTGTAACTCGGCCGTATCTTAGAAATAAATATTACAGTCGTGCGGTACGTAAACATGCGATAGGGCTGCTGCCTCCAGTATTTTTACATTTGCCCATTGATTTATGTGTTTTATAACTCAATGCATTTTCCTACTTTGTGTTTCCATTTAGTTTTATAATTGTACTTAAATATACTTTTTTATATAAACAAATATAATAGGTACTTTGTGAATTGAATAGGAAGTGTTCAATAAAAATGCGTGTCGTTTTATGATTGGTAGATTTAATTAAAAAACCATGTTTATGTTTGGATAACAAATCGGTCTTATAAATTTGCGGCCGAAAAATATTTGCGCCTCGGCTGAGACGTACGAAATGCTTTATTATTAAAATTTTAAATATAAAAAAAATCCGCATTATAATATAAAGCTTAATTAAAAATTGTTTTGGGAAACATGGACAAGTTGGAGTAAAGGAATATCTTTTACTTGGTTATATATACCTGCAGCTATTTTACAATTTATATGTTTGGTTTTAAATGAAGTTTGGATTTATTATTTTTTTATTTCTATTCTATTTTCTGAAAGGGTCCTAGGTAAGGAATTATCCACCGCGCTGCCCCACTGCGTGTTGGCGTACTTTGCATGACTTCGAAATATTATTTTTCTTATTTCTCAGACATGCAGGTTTCCTCACAATGTTTTCCTTCACCACTGAGCACGTGGTAAATCAACACTTAAAATTGCAATTACAATATTATTGGTGCCGGCGGGGATCGAACCCGGTTTGCTGAAATTTTAGCAAGCGCTAACCATCTGAGCTACCACGGCTCCTCTCCTCTCGAGCTAGAGACTTTATTTTATTTATCGTCAGGCCTGTTGGTCTAGTGGTTAGTGACCCTGACTGCTATGCCGCAGGTCGTGGGTTCGATTCCCACCGAGGACAAATGTTTGTGTGATGAGCACGATCATTTGTTCTGTGTCTGGGTGTAATTTATCTATAATATTTATGTATTTAGAAATATATAAGTATGTTTATCAGTTGTCTAGTACCTAGAACACAAGCTCTGCTTAGCTTGGGACTAGATGGCGTTGTATGATATTTGTGGAATATTATTATTATTATATTATTATTGTTGGGGTATCTGTATAGTTTTCTCATCTGGTTGGTTTTTATAAATATAAATTAAAATGAAAAGATAAATATACATAAATATCAATAAAATAAAATAAATACAAAAAATATACAAATAAATAAAGATCCAACCATATTAAATAAAAAATAGTCTCCTATCTTTCTCTCTATGTTTTGATCTCCTAAAACGAGTTTGAGTTGGTAAAATCAAGGCAAACTTAGGGTAGGGTTGACAATTATTATTTTGATAATAAAACTAGTGAAATTCCGCGGTTTTATATGCGCAAGCGTGAACGTAGTTAGAACATAATATAACCTTTATATTTTACATAAATATCCTAAAAAACTTATTATTTTAATATTTTACTAAGTACCTATAAAATTAACAAGTTTATTGCATATTTCTTTATCTACGTCTATTTTTAGGAACCTTTATTTAGTCTGAATCATACATAACACTATATTACTGATTTACTTACTTATACGTAGTTTTTTTTTTTTTGCAGTTACAAATATCTTGTGAGGTTGAAAAAGGTAGTAATGAAAAAATAATATGAATAATAATAATTGACGTCAACAACCACTTTTCATATCATGGTCCATTAGGTTGCAGCTTCACCGAACCACAAGTTATAATAATAATAATAACAATAGGTTATATATCCATTTTGAGCGCGTGACATAACCACAAGGTGATGTCACGCGCTCAAAATGGATGCCGGGGCGGTGGTCGTGGAACCAAGGAACCACTCCTCATTGACGCGGTCATTGGCAAAGTGGTGAAACGCAACCGTCGGAATTTCTCCGCCGCCTGGATAGACTACAGAAAGGCATTCGACTCGGTGCCCCATACATGGCTAAAGAGAGTCCTCCAGCTGTACAAAATTGACTGTACAGTTGGAGACTTCCTCGAGCAGTGTATGGGGCAATGGAGTACGATCCTTTGCTATCTGGGCGAGCGGATGATGGCTGCGGAGAACCACATAAGGATAAGAAGGGGTATCTTCCAGGGCGATTGTCTGAGTCCAATCTGGTTTTGCCTCTCCCTGAACCCTCTCAGTACTTTACTGGAGGGCTCCGGGAGGGGGATTTCAGCTTCGGAAAGGAGGTACAAAAGTGACCCACCTTTTCTATATGGATGACCTCAAGTTATTCGCCTCCAGTCGCTCCCATCTTATGGAATTGCTAAACATCACTTGTGAATTTAGCAATTCTATTGGAATGGAGCTGGGAACGGATAAGTGTGCGGTCCTCCATGTTGAAAGGGGGAGGGTTGCTAACTCTGAGGGCATAGACTTATCTATGCCCGTCAACTTAAGGACCCTTTCCGAGGCTGAAACATACCGATACCTGGGTATGTCACAGAACATCGGTATCGATGAGGCTAGTATGAAACAGTCAGTTTGCGACGTGTTTTATGCACGCTTGACCAAAGTGCTTAACAGCCTTTTGTCCGGTGTGAATAAGACACACGCATATAACAGCTGGGTCATGCCTGTCCTCATGTATACCTTTGGCATACTCAGGTGGACTCAGACTGAACTTAACGCCCTGGATAGAAAAATCCGCACTACCATGACGTCCCACAGGATGCATCATCCGAGATCGTCGGTAATGAGGCTGTACTTGCCGCGAAAGCATGGTGGGCGTGGCTTCTTGAGCGCGCTCACCATGCATAATCGCGAAGTGTGCAGCCTCCGTAATTACTTCCTGGCGAGATCGGATGATCCATTCTATAAGGACGTCATTTCTAGTGATAAAGGATTTACCCCTCTATCCTTAGCCAACGAGCAATGGCAAGACCCGGCAGTGCAGACAATTTCCGACCGGGAGAACGTATGGAAGGAGAAGGAGCTCCACGGGAGGTTCTACAAGGCTCTACATGAGCCTTTCGTAGACACAGTAGCCTCCCTCCACTGGCTACGCTTTGGTGATCTCTTCGGGGGAAACCGAGGGTTTTGTCTGTGCAATACAGGATCAGGTTATTAAGACCAACAACTATCGGAGATACATCCTAAAGGATGGCACCGTGGACATCTGTCGAGCTTGTCGCCATCCCGGTGAGTCACTTAGGCATGTCATCTCCGGTTGTTCGGCGCTTTCTAACTCTGAGTACTTGCACAGGCACAACCTAGTAGCCAGAATTCTTCACCAGGAGCTCGCTCTGAAATACGGTCTCGTGGATCGGAAATTGCCGTATTACAAGTACTTGCCGGAAGCCGTGCTCGAAAATGATCGCGCCAGGCTCTATTGGGACCGGGCCATCATCACAGACAGGACTATTCTTGCGAATAAGCCTGATATTGTGCTGATGGACCGGGCACAGTCAAGGATATTTTTGGTCGACATTACCATTCCGTATGACGAGAACCTCGTGAAAGCCGAAACAGACAAGCAAACAAAATATCTGGACCTGGCTCACGAGGTGACGGACATGTGGGGTGGTCTGCCGACCGAAATTATTCCTGTAGTCGTCTCTGCAAACGGGCTAATCCCAGTCAGCCTCTCGGGTCATCTGAGGCGACTGGGACTACGTGGCGGACCGCTCCGGGCTCAAATGCAGAAGGCGGTGCTCCTCGATACCGCCCGCATCGTCCGCCGGTTTCTTTCCCTTTCCCCCTAACCCTCGGCCGTTTGGTCTCCCCTGCCGAGGGCCTCCATCTGGTTGGGCTTTTATTTATTTATGTATTTTTATATTTATTTTATGTTATTGATATATATGTATATTTATCTTTTCATTTTCATTTATAATTATATATTTATAGAACCCAACCAGATGAGAAAACTATATAGATACCCCACATAACAATAAGAGGAGTATATTGGAAGAGGCGATTTTAGAAACGCGCAGCATGCCTCTCGAAAATCGACCGCGACTTCACCGCATACCCCTAAGCAAGCGAAATCGGGCTGTCGTGAGGGCTCTTAACCCAATGCTGGTAACCTATTTGGAAGCCAGCCGGGACCTTCGCGAGACGGACTCAGTTCTTTTTGGCGCCGCAGTGGCAGCTTGCCGTATTATTGGCGCCAAACTTCCCATGGCTGGACGTGCTACTAAACAAAGTAGCGCCATCCCAGCCTGGAGAAAAAGAATTGAGGACCGTATCGCAAAGGCAAGGGCCCTTATCGGCAGACTGATAAGCTTCAGGTCGGGTAATAATAGACCGAGGGTTGTGCGCACCGTTAGAATGGCGTTTGCTGGGACAAATATCAGTTTGTCCCAGCCGGATATCACGCAGAAACTAACGGAGCGCATAGACGACCTGAAGCAAAAGATTGCCGCTTGGGGGAAGCGGATTCGCCGATTTACCGAGAGGTCAAGGCGGTTCAACCAGAATCGTCTCTTCCAGAGTGATCAGAAGAGGCTCTACAAATCATTGGAGCGACCAGAGGTATGTGGAGCGGGCCCAGGACCGGATCAGGCTAACACTGTCGCATTTTGGCGTGGCCTGTGGTCAGAGCCCGTAAACCACAGCGAGGGCCCTTGGACGGAAGTTGTGGCGAGTCAGTGTGCGAGTATTACGCCCATGGACCCCGTCATCATAACGCCGGATGACGTAGCTGAGGCGGTCCGTAGAGCCCCGAACTGGAAAAGTCCGGGACTCGACGGACTGCATCACTACTGGCTGTAGGGGTTCATGGTGTGTCACGCTGTGCTCGCCCGTCAGTTTCAAGAGGCTCTCAACCAGAAGTCGCTCCCTAGCCTCTTCACTACTGGGATCACTCATTTGGTTCCTAAAGACCAGGTTACCACAGACCCGAGCAAATACCGCCCCATTACGTGTCTACCCACCATATATAAGACACTGACATCCATTTTGAGCGCGAGAATCACTCGTCACCTGGAGCTAAATCAGGTGATGTCACGCGCTCAAAATGGATGTCGGGGCGGTGGTCGTGGAACTAAGGAACCACTCCTCATTGACGCGGTCATTGGCAAAGTGGTGAAACGCAACCGTCGGAACTTCTCCGCCGCCTGGATAGACTACAGAAAGGCATTCGACTCGGTGCCCCATACATGGCTAAAGAGAGTCCTCGAGCTGTACAAGATAGACTGTACAGTGAGAGACTTCCTCGAGCTGTGTATGGGGCAGTGGAGTACGATCCTTTGTCATCTGGGTGAGCGGATGATGGCTGCGGAGAACCACATAAGGATAAGAAGGGGTATCTTCCAGGGCGATTGTCTGAGTCCAATCTGGTTCTGCCTCTCCCTGAACCCTCTCAGTACCTTACTGGAGGGATCCGGGAGAGGATTTCAGCTACGGAAAGGAGGGACAAAAGTGACCCACCTTTTCTATATGGATGACCTTAAGTTATTCGCCTCCAGTCGCTCTCATCTTGTGGAATTGCTAAAAATCACTTGTGAGTTTAGCAGTTCCATTGGAATGGAGCTGGGGACGGATAAGTGTGCGGTCCTCCATGTTGAGAGGGGAAGGGTTGCTAACTCTGAGGGCATAGATTTATCTATGCCCGTCAACTAAGGACCCTTTCCGAGGCTGAAACATACCGATACCTGGGTATGTCACAGAACATCGGTATCGATGAGGCTGGTGTGAAACAGTCAGTTTGCGACGTGTTTTATGCACGCTTGACCAAAGTGCTTAATAGCCTTTTGTCCGGTGTGAATAAGACACACGCATATAACGGTTGGGTCATGCCTGTCCTTATGTATACCTTTGGCATACTCAGGTGGACTCAGACTGAACTTAACGCCCTGGATAGAAAAGTCCGCACTACCATGACGTCCCATAGGATGCATCATCCGAGATCGTCGGTAATGAGGCTGTACTTGCCGCGAAAGCATGGTGGGCGTGGCTTTCTAAGCGCGCTCACTATGCATAATCGTGAAGTGTGCAGCCTCCGTCATTACTTCCTGGCGAGATCGGATGATCCATTCTATAATGACGTCATTTCTAGTGATAAAGGGCTTACCCCTCTATCCTTGGCCAACGAGCAATGGCAGGACCCAGCAGTGCTTAGCATTTCCGACCGGGAGACCGTATGGAAGGAGAAGGAGCTCCACGGGAGGTACTACAGGGTTCTACATGAGCCCTTCGTAGATACAGTCGCCTCCCTCAACTGGCTACGTTTCGGTGACCTCTTCGGGGAAACCGAGGGTTTTGTCTGTGCAATACAGGATCAGGTTATTAAGACCAACAACTATCGGAGATACATCCTAAAGGATGGCACCGTCGACGTCTGTCGAGCTTGTCGCCATCCCGGTGAGTCACTTAGACATGTCATCTCCGGTTGTTCGGCGCTTTCTAACTCTGAGTACTTGCACAGGCACAACCTAGTAGCCAGAATTCTACACCAGGCGCTCGCTCTGAAATACGGTCTCGTGGACCGGAAATTGCCGTATTACAAGTACTTGCCGGAAGCCGTGCTCGAAAATGACCGCGCCAGGCTCTACTGGGACCGGGCCATCATCACAGACAGGACTATTCTTGCAAATAAGCCTGATATTGTGCTGATGGACCGGGCACAGTCAAGGATATTTTTGGTCGACATTACCATTCCGTATGACGAGAACCTCGTGAAAGCCGAAACAGATAAGCAAACAAAATATCTGGACCTGGCTCACGAGGTGACCGACATGTGGGGTGGTCTGCCGACCGAAATTATTCCTGTAGTCGTCTCTGCAAACGGGCTAATCCCAGTCAGCCTCTCGGGTCATCTGAGGCGACTGGGACTCCGTGACGGACCGCTCCGGGCTCAAATGCAGAAAGCAGTGGTCCTCGATACCGCCCGCATCGTCCGTCGGTTTCTTTCCCTTTCCCCCTAACCCTCGGCCGTTTGGTCTCCCCTGCCGAGGGCTTCCATCTGGTTGGATCTTTATTTATTTGTGTATTTTTTTGTATTTATTTTATTTTATTGATATTTATGTATATTTATCTTTTCATTTTAATTTATAATTATATATTTATAGAAACCAACCAGATGAGAAAACTATACAGATACCCCAAAAATAACAATAATAATATAATATTATTTTGTATTTATTTTATTTTATTGATATTAATGTATATTTATCTTTTCATTTTAATTTATAATTTTTATATATTTAAATATTTATATAACCGAACCAGATGAGAAAATTATACGGCTCCAACGATTTTAGCGACGAACGCTTGGATTTATTTTTAGAAAATGTCCTTTTGTCCATGTTTTCAGGCAATAAAAAACTGCTACAATATAAGAAGGTAAATTTCGACTTATCATTAACGGTCGTTATAGCTCAGGTGGTATGTCGGTCGGGCGTGATATCGGAGTTCCGTGTTTCGCGTCTTGGCTTTGGTCCCGCTTCTTTTCCTTTTTTTTTCAAGTTCCCTTCTTTTGTGAGAAAATCTATTATTTCAAACCTTTTTTTTTTTAGTAATTTTTAAAAATACGAAAATTTTAATTTTAAAGAATTTAAAAAAAATATCTATTTATTTACTAATGCCTTATTTATTATTTTAATAATTACCTACCCAGTAGGTAAATATTAAAATAATAAATGTAGCATTATAAACAGTAAATCTCCCTCAAACTCAATTTACTAATATTGTTCCTAAATAAGGAATAGCAGATAAAAGATTAGTAGGTAATAACTATTGCTCCTCAAAATTATATTTGACCTCAAGGTAAAACATATCCTAAAATTCAGTAGCTAAATAAAATAATAATAACTACTATTCAAGTATATTTTCAATATGTAAGTAAATAAAGATAACAAAAATGAAGCACCATTAGCATGTAAAGTTCGAATCCATAATTAATATTTCGACAAATATTATAATTTACACTATAAAAAGCTAATTCAATATTAGCATTATAGTATATAGTTAAAAATAATCAGAATAGTCATTTTTATTAATTAGATAATATATTAGAATATATAATTCTAATATAATGCAACTAATATACCGAATAAAGAAAATTAAAATACATTTATCATTGTACGCCGTGTCTATTTCCATAGAAGAGTTCATTGACATTGAAAAAATAATACTACGTTCGTAGCAGTAGGTGGCGTCTTTTGGCGATTTCTTACGCGATATATTGTAGCGAGCGTCGACAGACCAAACGCTCAAGGTCGTTCGCTGGAGGTAGCGCCTTAACTCACAATCTATCAGACGTTAAGTGGGCGTGGTATTTTATGTAATAATAGTAATAATGTCCTCCAGACTGAATTCCGGCCACGGCTACCTGCCTCAACGAAGGCTAGCCATCGGACAGCCTTGACGGAAAAACTCAATAAATAATTTTTTGGCCCGACCCGGGATTTGAACCCAGGACCTCATGATTAGCAGTCGCACTACTACAACCACTAGACAAATCTCATTCTCTCGAAGTTTAGCTTTCTGAAGGTTTTACTTCTACTGTGTGTTGCAGGCTCAACGCCTCTTTGCACTTTAATTATAATAAATTATTAGAACGTACGTCTGTAATATTAAAATAAATAAATACAGTGTTAAAAAGTGCCAACAATCACTTTTTCATTATAATACATAAAATTGCCATAATAAATAATCAATACCACACCAGTTTTACAAAAGTAATACTAACTTTGGAATAATTACTTAATTTACTAATTACTAACCAGTAAAGTAAAATTTCCTATATTCAATACCTGCCGTGTATTGGCGATGTAAGAGAATCCACTACCCATAATATTACTAACCAGTAAAGTAAAATTTCCTATATTCAATACCTGCCGTGTATTGGCGATGTAAGTAGTATTTCTGATTTCTTAAAGATTTTCCTTTAAATTTTGTACGTTATTACTTTATAAGTAAAAAAGCTCCAGACTAAATACATTAAATATTTATTTTTTCTATTATTTGCGGATAATATGAGAAAAGTGCTCGAAATATTATGGAAAGTCTTTCTAACATTTGCTTTTACAGCGAGACATTATATTTAAAATTTTCTATAGGCTGCAATATCATTAGGATCCTCCTAATGAAATTGAAAATTAGAACTAATTCACCTTTGTTAAACATCTTTAAGGCCAATCTTTAATAATAACTTTAAGATTAATAATAATAAATAACCATAATAATATCAATAAAACAATAATAATAATAGTATTTAAAAATATTAATCATAACAATAATGATAATTAGTAGCAGGTTTGTTACCGCACAGCGCGATCACTCGCTACTTTGGTGGGGAGCGATTGTGTCGGCGTGTATAAATAGCAGCTGTTTCGGCTCGCCGCTCACTTAGCGGTCAGCCGCCGTAGAGTCTACATTATCTGAAGATGCCTCGTGTAGAGGCGAAACACGTGTCGTATAATCGTCGATGGTGTGTCTTGCCTGGAATAGTGGTGACGGAGTTAGTGCATGCAATTGAGGGAGGGCGGGAGGTGCTCTTCAATCCAGGTAAGACACATCAGTGTATTTGTTTGGCGGAAGGTTGCGAAGAAATTTATATTTTTATTTTTTATTAGAACTAGGATAGCTTTCCAGAAAATGACATGACTAATCTTTCAACCAATAGCGCCATCTAGTATCGAACAGAAGGATTAAGCTTTGTAGAAGCCCCACGCTCGAACTGTCTGCGCCTGGTCGGATGGCGCGCGTATTTACTTGAATATTCTGGATGTTTTGGTGAAAAAGGTGTATTTATAGGCGCTGCAAGATGC